CAATTGCCTTTGGACCTGGCTCACTGTTGGTTTACATTAGTTTAGTTTGGTTTGAGTTTCAGTTCGGTTTGCTTTTGCTCTTGATTTTTTTCCTAGCTTTGACTTTTGCTTTGGCTTCCATCTACTAACAAGCCGCCGCACGAAATTCTTCCGCAATTTTCACATAACTCAGTCGGTGGAGGGCCGAGCTGGGGCCGAGCGGGATTGCCAATTTTCACGCTGATTTTCTATTGCACTCCGGTTTTTTGCGTATCAGCATCGTGTGATCAGCGCCTCCCGCGAAACCCAAAAGCCAAAGAATAAAAAAACGCATGATCACGTTGGCTTACGCATCATTTAATGGGTTCGTGAAGCGAACTGGCTCTCCGACTAGCTGGGCGGCTAGCTGGTGGCAACCCAAAGTTGTTGATGGAAAATCCACTAGGGGGTGCAGAGGGGGCCGGGGCAGACCCGGCCTAGGAAGGCACCCACCAACTGGGCATACAACTTTATCACTTGCCCACAAAATATCTTCAATTGGTTCCATTAAACTTAAGCTGCGATCCCTGAGCACGTTTCTTTTTTTCTGTTGGCCCGGCCGGCCACTCTCTAGTGGGCCCCTCACTCACCACCTACCAGCTACTAGGCCGCATCTACACTGGGGAAAATATCAGATAGTATTATCTTTCGGCAAGAAGGAAAAACTAACCAATGCATTGCTTTTCGCAGAAAATTTCTTAAGAATTTATTAAAAAATCTTTCTAAATACATATATTCATTTAATATTAAAAAGTATATTAAGTATTAAGGTGTGTTCAGTATATTTCGAAATGTTTTTTAAAGCTTTTATATTATTAAAGTTTATACTAGTATTGTTATAACCAATATTTGGAGAAATTTGTTTCCAGTATTGTATAATTTTGTAGGATACATAGGACATAGGATATAGATCATCCTAGAATATTTTTAAATGTGCATATTAGTACACCTTCAATTGTTGGATTTTTTTCGTCACCAAAATTGACATAAAGTATTTTAAGAGTGGCATGAGTGGTTCGCCCCCCCAATATTTAGGTTCGTTCTGTGCCCATGTAATTTGCCTCAATTTGGTATTTATTTTTGTACAATTTTTCTGACTTTAATTCTTATATGCTTCAAAGGATGCTTCAAATATCTCTTCAACAGAGTTATATTTCTGGATAAAATGTATTTTGTTTGTTCTCTGGCCTTTATCCATTCTATAGAATACTTTTTTCGCAGTGCCCCAATAGCCGCTTCCTTCGTGCGTTGCCATCATCATCGTCATCCACATGGCCGCGTGGTCGTGCCCAAAATTAACCTGACCAGGGCATGATCATGAAGGCAGCAGCAGGCAGTAAAAAAAATCCAACAAAAAAAAAAAGGAAAAACTCAAACCCAAACAGAAACCGAAAAAAAAAGATCCGAGAAACGCAGTCCGAGAGTCGCTATAAATTCTATTGGCGTATCTATCTACACTATTTCTAATTTGGAACTCCTTATGCCCGAAGAGCCCCCTTGGAAGCGCCCCCCCCGGCCTGGGAACTTTGGTGGGATCTCGACGGGATCAGGCATCAGGCATCAGGCTCCTCGGCTCAGAGCTCACTTTTGGCCAATTTAAGTTTAAGTGCTTTGGTAACAGTTTCGCGCTTTCGAAACTTGAGTCGTGATTTATTTTTCTCAGCCTCTTCTCTGCCGTGGAATGGAATTCCCTACCTTTAGCACCGCCCCCTTTTAGACCCCCAGCCTCCGCGGCAGCACCCCTCCCCTCCATACAGCCCTCTTGCCATGCAATTTTCTGTGGGTTTTCCTCAAGTGCCGTTTTTCACGCCAAGACACGCAATCGCCGCCGCCAAGTAAATTAGGAAAATTGATCTAAATTTTCTTGGGAACCTTTGCCTTTCCACAGCGGATCGTTTTTCTCCAAAAAAAATGAAGAGAGAGAGAAACGAAAGCCCCACCATAGGAAATCAAAGAAAGAAGCTCATCCATCAGGCATATGTTATAAGCAAAAAAAAAATTATTCGTCAACCAATTAAAATTCAATAAAAATTTAAAGCCAATTCCTGCGAAAGCCATCGGAACCAACTTATCACAAAATTGAGAATCTTCGAATCGGGGGCATGACTAGAAGCAATCAGTACAAGTTCCATGTAAACAGTATCGCCATCGGAATATATATAAAATAATATATGTATATATACAGTGGAGTATATATATGTATATATATGTACGGTGTAGAAGCCAACTGGCAGCAACAAGTTCGAGTTAAAAATCTTGGCCGGGTCAGCGACAAAGTCAAGTGCAAGTTGCAGTCAGAAAAATGCAAGGAGGCGGCTTCCACAGGCTCCAAGGCACTGTGGAAAAGTAAGAGGATAATTCGAAGAATATTTGATAAAAGAAATGAGAAAAAGATAGTTTAATAAATGAAACCCATAGCATAAAATAAATATTATGAAAAAATCTTAACTTAACAAACATAGTTAAATTAATTAAAGTCAATTCTTAAAATAAAGATACAAAGATACTAAAAATAAAATATTATTTAAGTAATACTTTATCTTAAAATAATTTTTTTAAATGTTTCAGTATTTATTTTAAAAATTCCAAAACTCTAAACAAAATTATTATAAAAACCATAGGAAGAAAGCTCTTATAAAAACCCCTTAAATTTTCTCTCTCTGTAACCTGAGAGTGAACCCTCCCCTTGTATCCTCACCACCAGTAGCCAGTGTGGCATGCAACCTGAACTTGCAACGTTCGCCTCCTCGTTCGGCCGTCACCTAATCTGCTCCAAATCAAAATTGCTTATTAAACGTGGCGAGGAGCGACGAGTATTGGCCATGGCCAATGGTTGCCCCGCTCTCTTCTTGGCCAGAGCCAAGTATCTGAATCTCTGTGGGCCAGAAGCTGGCTGGCCAGCAGATTGGCCAACACAGTTGGCCAAGGCTTGCGGGTTCCAGGAACTAGTTCGCCAAAGGACCACGTTTGTTGACGGAAATGTAATGCGCTAATTAGGCTTTCATAAAAATTGTTGTTTTTTAAAAGAAATTATAAAAAAAACTATAGAAATAAATTGATATTTTAATATTAAAAAAAAATTGAAGGACGGGATTTCATATTTTGAACAAGCTTACAGAAATTATAACTAAATATAGAGCCTTTAACAATAGTGTCCTTATTATTTCTTGAAAGTTTGGAGGAATATTTTGTATTTTTTAATGAGTTTCCTCATAACAAGTTAAAATTATAATATATTTTTAATTTTATAATAGTTTTAAATTTTAAACAAAAAGTCCACTTTACACAAAACTAGCAACCAGAATCCAAAGTTTGCGTCGATCACGATTGGCTTCTCTACGAAAATCGAAAATCGGGGATCGGAAATTGGCGATCAAGGGTGCAGGAGACTCCCGAGGGGCCTAGAAGAGGGGGCTTAGGCCTATCTTGATGGGCCTGGGATTGGGTTTTGAGTTGGGGGGAGGGGGATTTCGATCGGGTTCTGGGATGCGGCGCTACAGGCTCAGAGCCAAGAGCCAAAAACTGAGCATTGATCGACGATGACGATGACGTCGTTGTCGTGCTTGTCGCTGCCAAGAGTTGGATTTTCAGCCAAAAAATAGCTAGAACTTGGAAACTATCTAGGGGTTTGAAATAGTAACTAAGAGGGGGGCTATGAAGTATGATAAAACATACAAGTTTTTTAAGAAAGCTTCAAGTATTAATAAGAATTACTTCAATGAATTTATGAACAAATTGTGAATCCTTTCAAAGCCATTTAATAGAGATTATTAAAAAGAACTAGGTTTCTTTTTTATGCCTTTTTAAAACCATATTAATAGAATATCCTTATTGTCATATAACTCTTCAAAATATAATATACACTAGACTTTGACCATTACATTATAAGACTTTTTGTAAGCCACCTTCCTCAAAAATATATTTCAAGTCATTCCAAAATTTAAGATTTCTTTGAAAAAAAAAAAAAAAATTTATTAAAAATTAATAAACTCTTCTTACAAATGAAGAGAATACCTGGCATTTCTACCAGTAACTTGCCAGCCAAGCTGCCAATGAACCAAATCCATTCTCCTGCCTGCCGCCTCCAGCCTCTAGCCATATTGGCCTCCACTATCTCAATTTCTACATTTGAACTTTGACCCGTAATGGGTTTTGTATATATTATAATTGCCGACCGTGCTACACACAATCTCCTTCAGGTTGGATTTTTGTTTTTCCGATTCTGGATTGAACTGAAGGAAAGTAACGCAACGTGAAGCGAAGTGGAGTGGATTGGTGATCAAGCGATTGCCTCGGAAGCCTCCAACTGGATTCGTCTCGACCATATCATCGCAAATCGCAATCTTTCCAAGAATATTTAAGAGGGAAACCAAAGACCCAGTGAAAGAGAGATGGCCATAAAGATAGACAGAGACATAGACTAAGGCACAGGCTGAGCCAGGGAGTGGAGAACTCAAGTGGACTTGTCGCATTAGCACCAGGCTGGTGCAAAAAGCATTAGGATTACGATCACACATTTGGCAACAGAAATCGGTTAACATAAGAGGGTCAACAGAAGAGAAAGAAATTGCAGGTTTTTGATGAAAATAATTAAATTACAAGATACTTACAAGGATGTAATTATGTTTTAGAGACTACTTCAAACTGTTATTAATGTCTATAATGTGATGAAAAGACATAGAAATTGATGGGAATACAAGGGTAACCACAAAGGTCAAAATAAATAGTATTTTGATTTAAATTTCTATTAAAAAGAGAAAACTCTAAGCAAAAATAAATCCTATTTCAAATTGTTCTAATGCTTTTTGAACTAGTATCAGACTGTTCAAAAAGTTCATTATACAAAAACCCCTCAATAAGTCAACTAAAAAATCTCAGTTTAAAAACAAAACAATATTTTATACTATATTTACTTCTTCGAATGTTTATCTAAAATTTCCCCCAAAACCCAGTTCACATAGACTTTTCCTTAATAGCAAACTCAACGTTTGTTTTGTTTTCGTTCGAAATCGTTTCGGTCGCTGTCACATCAACTGACGACAGGAAAAATTCTTAAAAATTCATAATATAAAAACAAGAGAAAGCAAATCACTTTGTAAAATCTTGGAAAGTCTTAAGGAGACGCAGGAAGAAGAAAAGAAAGGACATGTCGACGGCTCCCGAAGATCGATTGCGGGAAAATCTGAACCGCTGCCTATCGGATGCTTTGGTGAAGGGAATTGGAGGCCTGGTGATCGGATCCGTGGTCACCCTGCTGTTCTTCCGTCGTAGGATCTGGCCCATTTGGTTGGGTACCGGATTCGGAGTGGGCATGGCCTATAGGGGATGCGAAAAGGAGCTCAACTCGCTCAAGTACAATCCGCACGAATGACGAATGCACATCGGCGATGCTATCCAACCTAATTGATGACGAATTTATGATGCTGGCGTTTTCGGACTTGGATTTGGACTAGCGGCAATGTAACATGTAATTGGCAAACATTTTTGTTTTTAATTTCGGATGCCCCATATTGGATGCAAATTTTAAAAAAGTTAATATATGTAAATTAACATTTTCCTGAAAATTTCGATGTTTTTTTTTGCGGTGTGGATTTATTTCTTGAGAATTCCTGTTGGCACATTAACAGCTCGACGGTCAGAGAAAAGGGGAATCCCCTTTAAGGCTTGCCAGGCACTTAACCTTGTTCGCTCTGCTCAGCATAAATCGATCACGATCGATTTCTGCCAAAATAGATAATAATCGATGCACACTGGCGATTGAGTGCAGGCCGGCAATCAGCAGCAATCTTATCGATCTATATGGTCATGCCGGCAAGCATGCGATCGAGTTTACTTATACTTTGTGGCACTTTACACTTGCACTTGTCGAAAATAATTGGGACAAGTTGAGATTTATTTTGGAAGAGAAACTCAGTACAGAGTATGTAGCTTTTAACACTTAAGTTTTGGGTGCAGAATTAATAACATTTAATAGTAATCTTATCTCTTGTCCTAATTTCTCAAATAGGAGTATTAACGTAGGGTAATCAAGTACTCAAAGTAATAATTTAACAAAATTATAACCTCATTATTAAATTATAATTGTTAAAATTATAAAGAATAATTTAGTCTATTTATTCTAGGATTAGAATGTATTAATATTTTATATGTATTTTCCTAGTGTACTTTCCAACTAATGGTAGACCTACAATTTTGTATCTTATTTTGGCATAGAGTTTGGTCTAATGTTTAAAGTTTAAACTATAATTTTTTCGATTTAAGAAAAGCGATAACTTTTCAAGGCTTTCGATAAATGTCTTAAAACAATTGCCCTAGAATTTCTTAAGAATTTTGAAAAATAGTTTGACTTAAAGTTTTAATCTAGATTTTTTTGATAAAGGTACAGCCATAAGTCTTCGGTAGATGCTCGATATGTGTTTAAATAATTCGATTAATGTCTTAAAATAATTTTTCCAAAGCTTAACGTGAGTTTTGGGCTAGAATTTGTATTAAAGCTTATGCTAAACCACTAACCATACAGCATATAGACAACCCATTTCATACAACGAAAATGGACGCGAAAATTTCTTGCTACAGGCCCCAGCAGGCCCCAGAGCGGATTTCTTACGCTCTCTTACGCTCATCGTTCGTTCATCTTACGCTCATTCTCGCATTAAATGTTTTCTGTTTCTCAGTCTCTAAACGGAGCGCGATGAAGAAGGTTGGCCTGCGCTTCGGTTGATCTTTGTATGTATGCGTGTCACACATTCACATACATGGGTGTATGTGTGCGTGCGATTTCGTTTCGAAGCCAGCGCACAAAATTTTGATTTTTCTTACTTTTAAGGCTTGCTACCCTAACAAAATTCGGGTATTCGTTATTTGATGAAATGACGAAAGAAATTATATTATTTTTTGTATTATATTTTTTATTATTTCAGCATACATTTTTAATTTATTTAGGAATAAGATTAAGTGTTAGTAGTAAAATGTTTTCTGTATATATATTTTTACGAATCATTAAAAATCAATATACTGAGAAAGTGTCAGAGTATATTTCGGTCGGAGTCACTTAAAGCGCCGTTTGCTTTTAAGTTTTTGTTGTTCTGCAAGAGGCTTGTGCATGCCTACTCTAACGATGGAATGATTTTTAGGGGAGGGTGAAGACACGAAAACAGCTGATGGACTTGTTTACCTTTTTTGTTTACAATTTTTCAGGCACTTGTTATTATTTTGGGTTATTGTGAGATTTAATTAAATTATTGTCGTTAATTTAATAATTTCCTTATATATATTTCCTTATATATAATAACTTTAAAAAGTAATTTAATTCTTCACCCGTCTTCACCCTCCCCTAAAAATCATTCCATCGTTAGAGTAGGCATGCACAAGCCTCTTGCAGAACAACAAAAACTTAAAAGCAAACGGCGCTTTAAGTGACTCCGACCGAAATATACTCTGACACTTTCTCAGTATATTGATTTTTAATGATTCGTAAAAATATATATACAGAAAACATTTTACTACTAACACTTAATCTTATTCCTAAATAAATTAAAAATGTATGCTGAAATAATAAAAAAATATAATACAAAAATAATATAATTTCTTTCGTCATTTCATCAAATAACGAATACCCGAATTTTGTTAGGGTAGCAAGCCTTAAAAGTAAGAAAAATCAAAATTTTGTGCGCTGGCTTCGAAACGAAATCGCACGCACACATACACCCATGTATGTGAATGTGTGACACGCATACATACAAAGATCAACCGAAGCGCAGGCCAACCTTCTTCATCGCGCTCCGTTTAGAGACTGAGAAACAGAAAACATTTATTGCGAGAATGAGCGTAAGATGAACGAACGATGAGCGTAAGAGAGCGTAAGAAATCCGCTCTGGGGCCTGTCGCAAGAAATTTTCGCGTCCATTTTCGTTGTATGAAATGGGTTGTCTATATGCTGTATGGTTAGTGGCTAAACTAAGCTACAGCTTACAGAAAACATCTTTTAAGTTTTTTTTAAGACCAAAATAATAATAATAATACTAATATATTATAGAAAAACAAACCCAATCCCCCAAAATTAAAAGCCTAATATGTAGAAGAAACAATTGGGAAAAAGGGTGTTAAACGAGTATAGTTAGGAGTCTGTGATTGCTTACTTGGACCTTACACGTGAAAACAAAAATATTAATCTATATCTATATATATCTATATCTATATATATACATATATATATATAAAAATCAATTGCTGTTCGTTAGTCTCGCTAAAACTCGAGAATGGCTGAACGGATTTATCTTATCTTGGTCTTGAATTATTCGTGGAGGTCTAGGGAAGGTTTAAAAGGTGAGAAAAATTCGAATAATTGCCGGGAAAATCCTCAAAACAGTATTTTTCTATTTCCCATACAAACGTTTTCTAAATAAAATGGAGAGTATAAATCAAGAACGGAAGAACAGATTTGAATGAAAATTGGTAGGCAGGTAGCTTAGAGCCAGGAGAAGGACATAGGATACTTTTTGTCCCGTTCGACAGCGCGAATTATACTCCACCGAACTATACTCCACTTATAGTAATGAATAAAAGTAAGTAGGCTGTGAGCGTGACGTATCATATTTTTATGTACGATATTATGTATTTATACATTTATCTAGATGTATAAAGGTAATGAAAAGGCGCGTGTAAGCATGGCGCAGTTACGTGAATCACAATCGAAAGATGCACAAGAAAATGTCAAATAAAAATGTCAAACGTCAAAATGTCAGCAGCTAGGCTTGAGCGAACACGATTGAGAGCTAGGCAGTCGCGTTCTGCAGCAATCGATTTGATTCGGATGTTTAATTTATAATGCCGCGACCAAGACGATCGAATCTTTCCCGACAAAGCCATAATGCAAGAAGAATACAAAATACTGCAAACGAAAGCGGTGATATGCAATTGGGCCAATTTTAGTCATCAAACAGTCAATTCTAGAGCTGCGCGAGATAGAAGAATACGAAATCAGGAGAACAAATTTATAAAGGTAATGAAAAGGCGCGTGTAAGCATGGCGCAGTTACGTGAATCACAATCGAAAGATGCACGAGATGAATATAATCAACAAAGGCCACTTTTCAAAGAAGAGAAGCGCACAGATTAATAGTTAGAAGAAGAATTAACTAACAACGGCAACAAGTTTATCGAGGATTCACATCTGGGCAATTTCTTCGACTAGCATTCCAGTAAGAGCCTGATGTTGAAAATTCTGCTTATTCCAAAGTGATTATTGTGAACATTCAAAGTGAAAGTTCCAAAGTCAACATTCCTTATTACGCTTCTTCCTGTCGAGTTACGATTAAAAAAAAATGGCAACGCATTGGCCATTGCATCTTCTGGCGTTGCAGCAACCTTATTAGATGGAGGCCTAACAGCTCATTCAGCACTTAAGCTGTCATTGAACATTCAAAATAATCCAGATGCAGTGTGCAACATTAAAACAATCGTCTATGGGCATAGCGCCCATATTTTGGATGAATGCACTATAGGACGTAAAAATTCGCTTGGGGAATTGGATTGGTCAATTAGGGATATAAGGAACAATGATAAACTATTTTACGGCCCTTTGTTACTTCTTTCAGGTGTTCACGGTTAACGTACGCTGATGAATTCAATGCTTGCTTAAAATCATCGCAACTGTGGCGTAATGTTGAAAAAGAACTGACCAAGAATATGCGCGATCAAATGCTTCAGGATTCATCCTTTCTCTAAACAACTGTTAGATATTGGCGAGGGGAATTTTGCTGTACGTGAAAATACTGGATGTACTTGAAATACTGAAAAACATTTATTAACCAAAATAAATGAAGAAAAAACAGCTAGCCCTTATAGAAAACAAAAAAGGGCAAAACAACGTGTTCCGGGTTCGCTAGTATATCATATTTTCTTCCACTACAGGAAGCAACTAATATAAAAAAAAAAGTAAGCCCTCTAGTAACCCCGAAAATATTATTGTAATAGTAGTTAACCAAAAGCCTCATAATAGCCTTATAATATTTGTAAAAATGAAATAATGGAAAAGAGGCTAGTTAGAAGTCTCTAATTACTTACTTAAGCCTTGGTTAATAATAATAATAAAATATCATATAAAACCCCTTTAAAACCAGAAAATAAGAGCCTAAAAGCACAAAGCCTAAGCCCCCACCACCCTCTAACCAAAAATGCTTGGGAAAACAGTGTCGGCGGCGACCGTGTTGACGTGTTAAGTGTTTTGGCCAAGAGATGGCCCCAAAACAGGCCGAAAGACAAAAAAAAAACACAAAAAATAGGAAAAGAAAAGCCAGACAGGCAACGGATAAAAGGCAGCTGAACTTGGTCCGCTTCTTCCACTTGCCTGAACCTGGGATATATAATTTCGACTTGCCGCCCACAATTTTGTCGACTATTTTTTTGTTGATTTCCAGTTTTTTTAGGCGTTCTTTTTTTTGGGGGCGCAACTGAAGCTTAACTCGAAAATTGCAAATTCGGGTGTTCAATCGAGTCAAATCCTTTTCTATTACCAACTCAGCCGCTCCGCCAGAGCTCTGTGTTTAAAGAAATTGTCGGCCTCA